GCCACTTATTTCTGGCCACCACTGCATGGCTGCATTGTCTCTTCTTGTTTGGAGTTCTCCAGCTGCGCTCTCACGGCCCCCCAGTGAGTGGAGGCTGGGAGCTTTCTGAGCTGGTGTTGAGCCCGTGGAGTGGGGAGAAGCTGCTGGCCAGGGGATGGGGTTAGGGTGGCCAAAGCCAGTGCTGAGCTTGCAGACAGCCAAGATTGGTCTGGCTGCAGTATACCAACCCTTGCTCATGCCGCTCACTACTGCTTGCAGCCTCTTGCCTGTCCCCCTGAGACTACATGTGAGCGTGAATACGTGCAGATGTTCGTTACTCCTGGAGTAGTGTCTTTAACAATGGTATAAAGGAACACAGGATTTTGCAATGGGAAAGAGGATTTATCCATTTGCATGGGGTAGTCAGGAAGGCATGTCCTGTTGTCCCTGCTGTGATCAAGTAGCACATGTCCATATGTGTGTTGGAAGTTTGACTTTTTACATTGATCACCATCAGTTTGTTTGTTCTAATTAAAATGTGTCAAACAGAAGAAAAATATTTATATTTTCTCTCTCCTAGGTTTGTAAATACTACCTTTGTGGGTTTTGTCCAGCTGAATTATTTACAAATACCCGTTCTGACTTAGGTAAGTGTGTTTGGAGGGGGAGGGGGTCATTTATTGTCTATATATTTAAAAAAGAATCCTGTGAGATGACAGTGATGTCACCACATCACTTTGCATGCTGCCTCCCTCTGACCCTCTTCTCTAAGTTCGAGTCCTACTTCGCTGCTTCCCCTCGCCACTTGGAATTGCTATTTTAAACCAAGCCCTTACTCTCCTTCCTCCACACCACAGGGCTTTTAATGCCAAGAAACATGACACAGTACCCGGCAGACCCCATATTGCAGCTGTAACAGCCCAGGGGAGGAGAGGTTCAGTGCTTGGGATAGCTGCCCAGGGACAGGTGCTAGGAGCAGGGCAACCAGCCGGGCTTATGTGCCAGCAGCGGGCTTGTGGGGGCTCCCCTGCTGACCGGTTCTTGGTGAGCTGGAGTGTGATGCCTGATGAAGACTTGCCCCCCTCAACAGTGACTGCACTTACCACAGCTGCCAGAGCCACCCCTGAGCCACTCGGGAGCTACTGCACCAACCTGTCAGTTCTTTCCCTTCTACTCCCGGTGGGGAGATGGGTGGCCCTGGGCTCTGTGGGCAGGGTTGGGGCAGGGAGGAGGGAGAATGGGGGCCCAGGCTAGTGGAAGGGGAGAAGGAGCCCCAGGTTGGTGGATGGGAAAAGGAGGAAGGGGTCCAGGCTGGTGTGGCCGAGCCAGGGTTGCCTACCCCCCACGAGAGGGGGGGATTTGCAAGCAGTGTGAGCTTCCAGCTTCTTATGGCTTCTCCAGTCCCATCGCTTTAAGGTGCCTAGAAAATCACTGGGCATTCAGAAATACCTGAGTTAGGCTCACATGCTCCCTATAGGAGGTGCCTCAGAATGAGATTGACAGAAGCAAGCATTGACAGAAGTTTCCCCCAAGTTAGCCAATAGGAGATGCCAAGGCAAGTGATGTATCTTGAGCCCCACCCTTCCAGGGAGTTTCTGTGCCTTAGTCTGGGATACAGAGAGATACCTTCCTCTGCTTGGGATTCTCTGCCACAGATCCTTTCTTTGAAGATAGGTGCCTATACTGATTTTGCAAGAACGTCAAGAGGGCCAACCTTATACTTCTAACCCAATAGTTAGGGCACTTATCTGGAATGTGGGAGACCATGGTTTCAAATTCTCCCTTGACCTGAGTGGGAGAAGGGATTTGAATAGAGATCTGCCACTTGTCAGGTGAATGCCCTAGCCACTGAGCTCTGGCATATTCCTGTGTGGCAATTCCTTGGTCTGTATTGTGAAACTTTTCTAATGTGGATAAACAATATATATTCATTAAAGTAGGGAGGGCGGAAAGAGATCCTGGGTTCCCCACTTCTCAGGTGAGTTCTATAGCCACCAGTCTATAGAATCATTCTCATGCTTGTGTGCACTTTTTCCATCTCTCTCTGACCCAGTGATTCGGCACCTATAGCTTTTGGTGACAGTTTAGTGGGGGGTTTATGAATCCCAGAGGAATCTGATTCTGGACATTGTGCCTACCAGAGATGTTAAAAAGCAGGTAATTGGGTAATGATGTAATTGCTGACAGTGGTTACATCATGGTTACCTACACCACGGGGCAGAAGTTGGCTCTGGCCTACTGTCTCACTCCCAGGGAGCCAGCTGCCGCCCTGCGTTGCTGCCTCCATATCAGACATAGAAGCACAGGGCGGCAGCCATCTCCTGCCTATAGCCCTGCTCCTAGGGAGCTGGCTACCGCCCCTGCAAGTGGTGGCAGCTGGCTCTCCAGGAGCCGGGGAGTCTGCATGTAACTGTGAACATTGAGCAATAAGGCCTGACTTATCTGTTAACCATTTACACAGTTACATTTTCACATTCCTAGTACCTACAGTGGTAGTTAGATGCCTACATCTTTTTATGAACCTAGCCCTAAAAGTATTCTAACTAAATCTTCAAGAGTTTATTAGTGTAGCTTTCCAGAGCGTGCACTCAGTCTTGCTTTGCTTTGCTTTTAGGTCCATGTGAAAAAATTCATGATGAAAATCTGCGTAAACAGTGAGTGTTTAAGTTGTTTTAGAATGTGTTAATAAAAAGTGGCTTAACTTGGTCAAATTAGAATTAATAAAACCAACCAGGCAAAAAGAAAATAATTGATTATTAAGAGCAGCTTCATATATACGTTTGAACTTTTCATTGTCAGTTTCTCTATAAAAACTTATTTTAAAAAAATCACACAGTAATTTAAGAATTAATCATGGAAATTTTGAGGGGACTTTGAGGTCATTTAGCCCATTTCCCTGCTCTGAAGCAGTCCCAGTGTAATTTACAAAGTTGTAATTTTTGCTGGAGCCGTTAAAGCATAGCAGTTTTTACATGGTTTTTCTCATGTCTGTCTATCAAATTGACAATCGTTCATTTAAAAAAAACTTTGTATCTTTATCAGATATGAAAAGAGCTCTCGTTTTATGAAAGTGGGCTATGAAAGAGATTTCTTGCGGTATTTACAGAGCTTACTTGCAGAAGTAGAACGGAGGATTCGAAGAGGCCATGCTCGTTTGGCCCTGTCACAGAACCAGCAGTCATCAGGTGTAAGTACAAAAGGAAATATTGAAGCAAAGATCTGTTCACTATAGATTGAATTTGCTGCTTTTCAGATGGTCCTTATGTGATTTACCACTGATCATCAGGAGCCAAAAATATAAAAGGTTATTATGACAAGAAGAACGTCTCTTCTCTTCACTTCTGTTTTCCATAGATAGCTGCAGCTTTTTCCTCTGTACTCAGAATGATTTCTATTAACATACGCACATAATTCTCCTGTTGCTTTTGATTTCTTCTGTGTGGTTAAATAACTAATTAGCAGGATAGTTGTTACTTGACATGGATGATGGATTTGCCTGATGCAAGGCTCTTGTTTAAAATAGCATTTTTAATTTCACTAGCTTAGGACAAGGGTATATTGATTTTAATGGGTGATCCTCCTTTCACTGTATTCCCGGGAGAGTTATACTCTATCCTCTTAAATTAATACCAAGAGTGAGCTCTGAATTCTACTTTGATAAGTCTGTTAATTTTCTAATGTTCTTAACAAAATATTCTCAACCAAGGGGAGTTGAATTCAGTATGCTGGGTGTCAGAGTAGATTTGCATTCCTATTTGGACAGGGCATTTAGAAAGTCAGTTTGATCTGGTCTGCTCCTAAAACTTAATTGATTTATAACTACATTGCTCGTGGCTTTGAAAAATTTCACACCCTATGCAACATTAGATAGATTTCTTTTGTAGATACTGCTAGGTTGATGGAAGATTTCTTCCATCAACCCAGCTACTGCCTTTTGAGGACAGATTTTGTAGAGTTAGGAAACCAGTGTAAAAGGAATACCATTACCGTTCTACTGTCATAGTGGATTACCCTCTGGTTTACATTAGCAAGGCCTGGGTTCAGCAACCTTTTCTCAGCAAAGAGCCAAACTACATCAAAATTCAGAACAAGTGGTCAACAAAGAGCAGTATAAGATTGCCTCTTTCCATTACTGAAAATATACAACTTAATGTTATTTGTAATTGACATGATGATTAATAGCATAAATGAAACGTACTCCCAGACTTTATTTAGTGGGATTTCTGTTGCTGCTGGGGGTGCAGTTTGTGGATATAGTGTTGCAGGAGTCAGGGTTGGGATGTATGAGGGGCTCAGGGCAGGGAGCTGGGTGTGTGAAAGGTGCAGGAGACAGGGCAGGGCATTGGGGGTGGGAAATAGATTATGGGGGGAGAGGGAGGGATCCTTGGGGCCAGATTACCTTATCTGGCTGGGGCTGGGCTGCTGTACCTGGGCACCAGTGGCTGGACAAGGGCTGGGCCAAGATAGCTGGAGCCAGATTGTGGCCTCCCCTTCTACCTGTACTGCAGCAGGGGAGAGGGGAAACACCACCAGTCTTTCTGCAGCCAGATGGGGACTGGACCATAACGCCTGCTCCAGGATCGGGGCCACTGACGGGGGGCTTGGCCCTAATCTGGTTCTTGTTGGACAAGCTTCATTTTAAATAAAGTTAAATATTATGTCCAACACAAAAGGTTTCAACATTGTCTTTCTTTATGCTAGGAGTGGGTTGGGGGCCATTGACCCACAGAAAAAAACCACAAGTGAGAAGTCAAAAAAACCCTACAAAACCCAGCCTTCAGTGATGACTCCCAACTGAAATCACCTCACTTCCCTAGAATTCCAGCCCCATCGTGGGGGTCGGGGGAGCAGGGAGGACTGAGGTTCAAGGGCCTCAAGCCAGATTAACTCTTCTGGGGTTACAAGCTTAGTGGATTTTCTGGGCCTCCCCAAGTTCTGGGGTGGGATTTAAAAAAAAAAAAAAAAAGGTTCAGTGTGTGGAACGCAAATGGAGATGTAGGAGGGGGTGAGGATGCAAGGTCTAGGTGGGAGTAGGGGGTGCAGGAGTAGGGTGTCTGGCCATGGAGAGTGGGCAGGAGCAAGGAAGGGGGCAGAGTCTAGCCAGGAGGGGAAGGTTCAGGAGGAAGCTGGGTGTCTGTCCAGGAGAAAGGGCGCAGGAGCAAGTGAGAGCACAGGAGCAGGCTGGGGGGTAGGGTGTGGGGACAAAGGGAAGGGGTGCTAGAGCAGGTTGGGGATAGGGTGTCTGGCCAGGATAGAGAGGTGCAGGTGTAAGGTTAGGGGTGCAGGGTCTCAGTGGAGGATGGGTATGGGATCTTGGCTTGGGGGTACGAGTGGGGGGGCTGGGGTCTTGGCTTGGGAGGTGGGGGAGTCACTTACTTGCTTTTGCAGTGCTTTCAGGCTCCCATTGGTCAGAATCTGGTCAATGGGAGCAGAGGGAAAAGCCGCCAGGAAGTGTGTGCCTGCGCTGCTGTCCCTCAACTGGGGGAAGGGAAGTGGCAGCCCCGTTTCTGGCTCTGGCTTCTTCCCTGCAAGCTGGATCCAGTGGGGAGGCTTGGGGATCTCTTCTCCTCTCTCCTCTTCTTCCCCCCCCCTCCAAGGAAGCGGGAACCGGCACTTCAGTCTTGCAGGGGGCTGTGAGGCTGGAGCACCAGCATGGGCTCCCTGCTGGGGGTGGGCAGCGGGGGAGGAGGTCCTGAGCTAAGCTAACAGTACCTAAGTGGTTTAAGATATTCTCTATTGGGCTCAAGGCACTGTCAGTGGCATACCTCAATAACATTTTTATCTTATAGGTGTAGGGTTGCTAATTGGAGATCAGGTCACACATTGACATAGCTCTGTTCTCTGAACTTGGTATTTAGTTATGATTATTTGGGGGGAATAGTTTGATTTGAATATCTCTACCCACCTTTTTGGAAGTTGTATTGTTCATAAGCTTTCCCCCAAAAAAGAAGTATGCCGAGCAAGAAGCATTTGAAGGACATTCTCTGCAGAGGGCTGTGTATGACTTTCAGTCAGGAGCTTAGCTCATGTTCCACTCTGCTTTTGCTCTTCTCAGGGGTCAAATGTTAAGAATCAGGAGTATTCTGTCCTTCTTGTGCTATCATGTTAAAACTCAGGAATTACAATCATGTTTGATGCCTTCAGAGAAGCAGGATTATAATTGAGTAAATTGACTTTTCCTAACACTAAGTGATAGTACAAATTGTTACAGCTCTTGGACTAATTTGTAGTTAAATCTATTTATCTGGTATCAAATATGCTATTCTAGAGAGAACATTAGGGCTGTGTATGTTTAAGAAACTATCCTTAAACTATCCTTTGAGTAGGAACTGATTATTTTTATGTTTAGCAGGCAGCTGGACCTGCAGGCAAAAATGAAGAGAAAATTCAGGTCTTAACTGACAAAATCGATGTACTTCTACAACAGGTAAAAATCACTTTCTAACACAATTATTAATCAAATTTTCAAATTAAGAGACTGACAGGATATTTATTCTCCTTTAGATTGAAGAATTGGGCTCTGAAGGAAAGGTGGAAGAAGCACAAGGAATGATGAAACTTGTTGAACAGTTAAAAGAAGAGAGGGAGTTGCTGAGGTCTACAACTTCAGTAAGTAAACCTGTGTGGGTTCTGTTAGGCTTATTTCAAGGCTCAATGCAACAGCAGAACTTGGCAAAATAGGTGTGCAAGTTTATGTAATCAGGGGCTTTAAAAGTTACAACAACCAATTATTGCTTTCTTGTTAAATTTTGGTTTCTCCCATTCAAACTTAACAAGCTGAAATATTGCCCCTTATGAGAGCCCAGCCCGTATTTCACTAGTGCATTTAATAATTTAAAATGCCAGTTAGTCTTCTTCAGTATTCAATATTGTGTACTTTGTTAGGTAATTACATCTTGGATTTAAATTGGAAGCTCGTTCAGTTTAGTTTTCCTTACCAAAACTAAGTTGGAATTGAGAGTTTAACTGTGTATTGGTAATTTATGGGAGATGAAACAGATGCTTCATATAGCTATGCTTATATAGCTAAAAATTAGGAAGTCAGAAAACTCATTCTAAGTTGATGTAGAAGCCTGAAACAAACGGATTTTGAAAATATAAAATTGCAAGACCACAGAAAATGTGTAATTTTAAACCTCCTGTATCTCAGCATTGCTTGGGCTAAAATATCTAAAATTTGAGAATATTTTCAAGCACCCTTCAGAAAAAATCTCCAACTAGATCATGTACAGTTGATAAGTTAGTCACCTTCTGTATCCCAACGTGGCTATGCATCGTGCACTTTAAGAAACACTAGTTGATATGTTGATAATATACCTAATGTTTCCTGCATGTATCAAGGAGCAGTGAGTTTAAAATATTTGTATTATCATTGGCCATTTGAATTTGGCACCCATTGAAATGAATTGAGCAATTAATCTCTCGTAGCTATCTTGCTGACACTCTGAAAACTGTTAGACATCACTGAATCAGTTAACCTTCAAAACAGTGTTTCTTCTTAACTATAACAGTTCAGAGACTAGAGTCTCGTTTTTTGCTAAAAATAAAGTAATTGAAGTTTGACATCTTTCCATTGCCATCTCTTACCTTCCCTGCCTCTCTAGTTCTTTAAACTCCTCCAATGAGAGAGAAGCCATTTTAAAGACTTTTAGAGGAAATCAGAACTCTTGCTTGAAATGGAGAGGTGGCTACAGCTTTTATTGTGAGGAAGACACTTTGGATGTTTGATTTAAACCAGAGTCAGTTCAAGGATCTTTAAATTCCTGGCTGTCAGCAGTTTCTCTTCTTTAAATCTCCCCCAGGACTGCCACATTTCAGGGAATGTATCTTGAGAGAACCTCTTGGTTTTCTCTGTAATTATCTTCCAAACTACTAGATCTAGACCTGCTTGATTCCTGGAAGGTTGCATGTTTAAAGCTGAATCTGATTAAGTCTGTCTTGTGTGATGTTGCACTTTCATTAGTTCTTCTTTGTGTGATGTCCCTCTGGGTATTCCACTGTAGGTGTTAGGCTGTTCCGGTACCGCAGACTGGAGATTTTTCCAGCTGTAGTTGGTTGGGCTTTGTGCATGTCATAGGTGTCTTGTGGTGTTCATGCCTTACCATATCAAGAGCATGGCCCAACCTTCCTCAGTTCCTTCTCTACCATCCTCTGAAGCAGACACAGCTCTGCAGTGTTCTTCTCTTCACATCCTTGAAGACGAAAAATACATAGTTTGTTTAAGGGGAAGGAGGGCTGAATGTTAGGTTTTTTTTAAAAAAATAACAGACTTTTTCTCCTCAGTTTTTATAGTTAGTGTATATATAGTTGCCCCCTTTTTCCCTTGGTTTCTGTTTTTACCAAACCAAAAAGAAAAAGGTGAGCCAAAGACCACCACCTGCCATTATGATGCTGGGATTTCCAGGTTTCAAAAAATGGAACACTTGTTGCAAACCCATGCCCATCTCCACAGCCATTCTGCCTGCGTTCACTGCCCTCAAAAGTGCTCTCATTGTAGCAATCTTTCTGCGAGAGCTAGGCGTGACAGGGTCTCAAGAGGATTCTTATGGAGAAGTACCTTCAATCACCTCCGCAATCACATCACATCCTTTCACACTTTTTGACAAAGGATAAAGCCCAGACTTCCAAAGTCTCTAAGAAGCGGGCTAGCACCCCTCCAGGTAGGGATTCTCAAAGAGAATTTCCCCAGCAAAATCATTCTCCTCGATTCTTACCTCGAGACAGAGCAAAGAGGATACCTCTGGCACTGCACCAAAACAAGCCTCAATAGGCACCAATTCAGAGTTTAGGTACTCTGTGCCACTGCTGGCACCAACAGTGCCATCTCTTATGCTGCTGCTACCAGCACCATTTCTCCCACAGTGCTGAAAAGAATGGCTCGCGGCACCATCAAAGCAGGCAGTTTCCGGACTATGGTGATGTAGTGGACTCATCAGCACTGCATTTCCCCAATCTTCCGCACTGACGAGTCACCAGGTCAAGCTTCTGACCGCCTGTGAATGTCACCCGCTGTCTCATTCCATAGTGATCCTGAGGCGGAGGAGTACAGGAGCAGATTTTCATTCTAGCTTTCCTCACGTGTGACCTCCATGGCAACCACACAGCGTGAACCTTCTCGACATTTTGCATGTTCAGCTGTGCAATGGGCAACCATGGCCATATCCACCTGCTCCTTATTCCATGCAGTGACTCCAATGGGTGAATAGAGGGCAGTATTCAGCCCCCTGTGCTCCAGCAAGGAGTGCTTTGACATCTCCACCATCAGTTGTGAGTATCCCTCTGTAGTGGGGTGGAATGGCCACCCACTGAGCCGGAGGCGGAGGAACCCCTCGGGCGGCCATTTTGGGCCCGGCCTAGCCCCGCCCCCTCACCTGACCGGAAGTCAAGGGGTGGGACTAGGACTATAAGAAGGCTGCCTGGGAGCTCAGTCAGGGCCCAGCCTCCGAAGGAGCCGGAGGCCCGGCTGAAGCTCCTGCCTGGGGAGGCTAAGACCTGGGCTAGGCCGCCCTCAGCCACCTTCCCAGAGGCCGGCCAGGGCCTCCCTGCCCGGGCTACTAGGGCCTGGTCTGGCCCGCCAGCTGAACCACTCGCGGACCCAGAGGACGGGACCGAGCCGCTGGACCAGCTGGACCCCCGGGGGGTACGGGAACGCCGGGCTGGACAAGCCCCACGGGACACTACAAAGCTCCGACCTCTTAACCCCTGGGTTGGGCCGCCAGCCCCTGCGGAGACGACGTGGGCCTCAACTCCCCCACC